GTCAGCCTGGCCCTCGGCCTGACCGGGTCTCCCCGACTGTGCACACCGTGGTCATGCATCAGCCTGGCCCAGGCTACTGCCCACTGTTCATCCTCCCATTCCTTGTTGTTAACTTACTTATTGGATCAGGATTTCAAAGCAAAATTATGTTTTCAGTATTGAGCTGTTCTGGGCCTCTTCCTTTAGCACAGACGAGCAGCAGATGGTCTGCTAGGCATGACTGAACTGGCTGTTCAGGCGTCTCCTTGGCCTCCTGCCCTCAGCTAGTGGACTGAGGCGGCAGGCAGCCCCCAGGGCCCCGTCGCTGTGCTTGCCGTAGACCCTATGGCATCAGCTGGTGAGGCCTCCAGAGTGGTCCACAGCCCGGGGATACTGGTGTGGGGTCTGCGTCCTCAGGTTGGCTTACAGCCATGGTGCCGGGACAGTGGGCGGGCGTGTGTGACACCACCGCGTGCTCCCCACAGGCCCAAGAAGCTCCGCTTCCACCCGAAGCAGCTGTACTTTTCTGCCAGGCAGGGTGAGCTGCAGAAGGTGCTGCTCATGCTGGGTGAGTGTGTCCACGCCGCCACATGGAGGCCCCTGTCACCCTTGACGCTGCATGGGGCTCCTCATTACCTGTGACACTGCATGGGGCTCCCTGTTACCCCCATCACTGCACGGGGCTCCCCGTTACCCCAACAGTGCATGAGGCCCCATGTCACATGTGACACTGATGGAGCTCCCCATCACCCCCATCACCACTCACGGCTCCCCATTACTCCCATCACCACTCAGGGCTCCCCATCACCCCCGACACTGCATGGGGCTCCCTGTCACTCCTGACAGTGCATGGGGCTCCCCATTACCCCCCGACACTTCACAGGGCTCCCTGTCACTCCCAACACTGCATGCGGCTCCCCATCACCCTTTGGGGCTCCCTGTTACCCCTGACACTGCATGGCGCTCCAATCACCCTGCTGACACTGCATGGGGCTTCTCATTACCCCTGACACTACAGGGGTCCCCTGTCACCCTCATCACTGCACAGGGGTCCCCATTACCCTCAGCACTGCACAGGGGTCCCCATTACCCTCATCACTGCACAGGGGTCCCCATTACCCTCAG